CGGCAATGTGAAAGGCTGTCCACTTCATGGTGGACGGAAGCACAGAGATCAGAGAGGAACAAGAGAGCACATCCCCTGTGACCCTCAAAGGCAGACCCCCTAGAATCGACGTCCTCCAATGAGTGCCCATGCTGCTAGAGCCATCTAAAATTATGCCATCACTGGCTAGACAACCAGAATGATCCTGACGGGGACATTTGATATTGGGACTATGACAGCTGGCAATACTCCATGTGTGCTGTCACACTCTGTTGCTTGAAGAAGTTAACACTATCCACACGTGACTACGTCAGGACCGACTGTCTGGAGGTGTTATGCATGGACCACTGGAGCCTTCCCCAAGGCCTCTGCTTCTCTAGTGGGTTTTAACATGTTTCTTTTTTTTGCTGTAAGAAGCTGTGACCAGGGTCTGGAGCGATGACTCAGAGGTTAAAAGTGCTGGCTGCTCTTGCAGAGGACCAGGCTGAAATCCCATGTGGTGATTCACAACCCAGGAGGCCCGATGCCCTCTTCCGGCCTCTGGGACACTACACACATGTGATGCACAGACGTATGCAGGTAAAATACTCATACATGTAAAATAATGCAATAAAAACCTCTGTGGCTCCCAGGGGTTTGGGAGTCCTTCTGGGGAATTATCAGACCCAAAGATGTCAGCGTTCTGCTACTGGGACAAATTTCCCAAGGCTAACAACCTGTAGGAGAAATTTCAGTTTTGACTTCCAGATGGTTCAGTCCAACATCCTCGGCCCCGTTGCTGTGAATCTGTGGCAAGGCGGAACACCATGAACAACCCAATACAAAGTGCTCACATCCTGGAAAGCCAGGAAGCAGAGAGTAACAGGGAGGATCCTTTTAAAATCAAGCCACACCCCCAGTCATCTACTTTCTCCAATCAGGCCCCACCTCCTAACAACCCATTCAGCCCTGAGTGTACCAGTGCGTTAATTCATCCATAATGTTGCCACCCTCGTGGACCAATTACCTCTCACCAGCTGAGACCCAGTCTTCAACCCAAGACCCTTTTTGAGGGACACTCAGATCTAAACCACAAGAGCAAGGGTTACCGTAGGCACCTTCAAACCTGCAACTGGTGCCAGAAATGTGGGTGTTCTTGAGCCTCCAAAACGATGCCGTTCCTTTGGGTGCCAGGCTGGCAATCATGTCCCTGATACTTGATGGTCCTCATCCAACAGAGAAGACTCTGGCTCAGAGCCCTTGGTCAGCAAGTGGATACTCAGCTAGAAGGCAATATAATACTTTGTCCTTATGTGTTGTCCCTGCAGCTACCTCAATGGCTTCTATTTATAGCGAAGAGTATCGACTTCCCACAGGACTGGCTTTTAGAGTAAATTTATTAAAGTAACGGAAGTTGGTCCTTACATGAAAGCAGCGCAGAGTCCAGGTGGAGGGAGATGTGGGAAAGGTTGGAGGATGCCATGACTGATGCCTGGGAAATACCATCCAGCATTCTGTGTGATTGCCCAGCCAGGGGGAAAAACATGGCTGCCGTCTATTCTAAAGGGCACTTTCCCTCCCCGTGACAATCTTGTTGCGCCTTTCCCAGGGCTGGGAAATGTTTTTTAAAAAGTGACCCACAGTTGTTCATAGTAGCGCATGCCTTTAATCCCAGTACTGGGGAGGCAGAGGCTCTGTGAGTTCAAGGACAGCCCAATCTACATAGTGAGTTACAGGATAGGCAGGGCTACATTTTGAGACCCTGTCTCAAAATAAAATAACATAAAATAAAGTGACCCACAGTTGGAAATAAACCTCATATCATTGTCATTGTGTATTATTTTTTTCCGGTTATACATATTTATTAAATCAGCAAGACACGATTGGTACACACCTATAATCCCAACAGTTGGGGAGCGGAGGCAGAGGGCATTGAGTGTGAGGCCAGCCTGGGCTAAGTAATGAGCCTGCCTCAGAACTTTAAAGTTAACATTAATAAAACAATGATAAGTAGGGCTCAGTTGGTAAAGTGTTTGCCCTGCATGCGGGAGACTGTGGGTTCAATCCCCGGCACCATACAAAACTGAGTGTGGTAAATGCATGTCTGTAATCACTCAGGAGCACAAACAGGGGGACTATCACATGTGGCCAGCCCAGGCTACAGAGAGAGCCTCTCCTTAAAAAAAAAATAGAATAGTGATATTTTCAGGTTTGTGTGTGTATTTGTGTGTCTGTGAGAGAGAATGTGTTTGTGTGTATGAGACTGTGTGGGTATATATGTGTTTGTGTGAGAGAGACTGCACATGTACGTGTATGAGCAAGTGTATGAGAGAGAGAGGGGGCGGTTTCTTGCTGATTGATCGATTTTGCTTTTTTCCTGAGATGGGAAGTGTCCTGATATGTCTTTACACTACATAGGCCACTCCCTGAGTCTTCCAAGGCGGTGCTTCAACTGTAAGGAAATAGCTCCAACAGTTGCTCCTGCTCTGATTCGGTGGTTAGTATCAGTAATGCCAGTTTGCAGGTCCCCGCTCTTAAGACAGACACCATCTCCCTCTCTCTTCAGGAATCCCCCAGGACACCAGAACCCACGGGTGTTCAGGTCCCTTACATAAATGATGTAGTGTCTGTACATATCCCTCCATACACCTAGAGCATCTCTAGGTAGGTGTCCATGGAGGCCAGAGGCATCAGATCCTTCTGGGAATCAAACTGGAGCCCTCTGCAAGAGCAGTGCATGCTCTTAACCGAACAACCAGCTCTCCAAACCTTTCTTATTTTCACATGTGTGCGCGTGATCCGCACATGACTTGGGTGCAGTGAGTACAGAGGTCAGAGAGGGCACCCAATGCTCCAGGAGCTGGAGTTGTGAGCCACCAGACATTGGTGCCAGAAATCAGTATGTCTCTTAACAGCTGAGCCACCTTCCAAGCCCCTTCCCCTTATTTTTGGGGCCAGGATCTCTTACTGAGCCTGGCCTGTTTTCCCAGTAGACTAGCTTGCCGTTGCACCTCCTCCCCCAACGCGGGGCTTACAGGTGTGAGCTGTCACAACTGGCTTGTTTGTGTGTTTGTTTTGAGACAGGGTTTCTCTGTGTAGTCCTGGCTGTCCGGGAACCCGCTCTGTAGACCAGGCTGGCCTGAACTCACAGAGATCTACTTACCTCTACCTCACAAGTGCTGGGACTAAAGGTGTGCACCACCATACCAGGCTCAAATGTGGCTGCTTATATGAGTGCCAGGGAGCCGAACACAGGTCTTCCTGTGGAGTACATCTTCCCCACTGGGCCATCTGCCCAGAGCGATTTATTTATTATATGAAACACTCAGCAGACATTTTCGTTTTATATTTATTTAGTTTTGTTTCTTTGTTTTCTTTTTTCTTACTTGTTTTTGAGACAGGGTCTAGCTAGCCTAAAACTTGCTATGTAGACCAGGCTGAACTTGAACTCTTGCCTCTGCTCCCTTTCCCCCTAGCTCTGGGATTACAGGTGTGCACCATCATACCCAGCCTAGTTAGTTATTTTTAAGACAGGGATTCATGTAGCCCAGGCTAGACTTGAACTTGAGTTATGCAGCCAAAGGCATTGAACTTCTGGCCCTTCGAAGTGCTGAGATTCGAGGCATGCTCTGCCAGGACTGGTTTTCTGGGTTGCTAGGGTTCAGACTGGGACTTCTGGACATACTGGACAGACACTCAGCTCATTTGCATATCCAGCCTAAGGTTTTCTCTCTCTCTCTCTTTTTTTTTTTTTTTTTTTTTTTTTTTTTTTTTTTTTTAAGGCAGGGTTTCTCTGTAGGTTTGGAGCCTGTCTCCTGGAACTCTCTTTGAAGATCAGGTTGGCCTCGAACTCACAGAGATCCAGCTGCCTCTGCCTCCCGAGTGCTGGAATTAAGGGCATGTGCTCCCACCGCCCGGCCCGGTTTTCTCTTCTTATGACTTCTTCTCTTCTTCTTTTCACGTGGCCGGGGCCTGCCTGAATGATTTCATAACTCCAGCTCACCCTGACTTAAAGCGTGCACAGCACGCTGGCTCCTGACTGTGTTGTGACCCTGACCAAACCCTGGCGAAGCCGCTCGTGTCCCCCTGCCCCCCAACACCCTGAGCCTGAAGGGGCCAGCCAGGCAGAATTTGGTTGAGCCCTCCTCATAAAGTAGAGTCCAAGGATCCTCAGGAAGTGTCTGCCGGAGCCCACCCTCTCCCAAAGTGCCCTCTGCTCTGAGCCGTGTTCTGAGGCCCCACCTGTGGGTTGGTAGGAGACAAAGCTGGAGGGTGCAGGCTGCATATTCGCACCTATGTATGAGGGACCCTGAGGGGCAGAGGGACTAGTAGTGTGACCTTAAGGGGGTGACTGTGGGCAGGGGCCCCGTTAAGGTGGAAGCTCCACCCCAGCCTCTGGCATCCATACACACCCAAACAATCTGGGATGCTATGTGGAGGCTCCACCCAAGCCCCCCCCCCCCCCCCCGTCTCCCTCCAAACCCTGCTGCATCTCAGAAAGCCTCCAAATGATGGCCCCTCCCCCAGAGATGCTCAAGACCACTCAAGACCACTCCCACAGGGTATTTAAACTGCCCTCCCACCCCCGAGAACAGACTGGTGGTTTTTCTGATCTCCCTTTCCGGTCTCCTCTCTGGGGGGGGACTGGAAGGCCATCGGGGAGCACGGTATCCATTGAACGTGGGCTTTTTCGAGTTCGGTTTGATTCGGTCTGATTTGGATTGCTGCATTGGCGGAGAGGCTTATCGGGGTGTAGAAACTCCTCTTCAGCCCCCACTTCATCCTTACTCCAGCTCTGACACCCAGATGTGCTGGTCCTAACCCAGGTCCTGGAAGTGGGCTGGACTGGGGTTCCGCCTCCGGCCCCCAAGCACCCTGGCCACATCCTCCTTCCCTGCACACATCGGACCTACCCTTCTCACTCACTTTATTTTGTCGCCCACCGTGGAATGTGTGGCACCCTTGCCTACCCCCAAGGGCTCCAGGCCCAGCCCTGACTCTTCCACTCACCCCTGTACCACAAACTCTCAGAAGACAGAAGCCACGGGACAAAGACCATGGATTTATCTTAACAGGTTGGATAAGGGGCAGGGCAGTGCCCGGGGAGCCAGGCACCCTCGGGGTGGGGAGGCCACCAGCCTCAGGCCTGGCTTCCTCCAGTGGTGTCTTCCTTGGAGAGTCCTTACATGCTGACCACTACAGGCTCTTGGGAGGGAGAAAGCAGGGGTGGCGAGCTGGTGTTCTATGAGGCTCCAACTGGGATGTCCATCGGGGTGTCGGCCCCCACTCACCTGTGGCGATTCAGGCACATTCGGGACAGGTGTCTACACTTCCCACCTGGAAGAAAAGGGACCAGTTCTCCCATGAGTTGGGAACGGTGTTGATTATCACATGCACTCTGGGGACCAACTAGGGGACAGTTAGGGCAGTCTTGGCCCTCAGGAAGCTCCCAGTCTACTTTATACACATGTGTGGGAGCCAATGAGATGGCTCGGCCACTGAAGGTGCTTGCTGCTGAGCCAGGCAACCTGAGTTCTATTCCTGGAACCTATGTGGTAGAAAGAAGACCAGGGACTGGAGAGAAGAAGGCTCAGCAGTTAAGAGCATAGGCTGCTCTTCCCTTGGTTCTGTTTTCAATTCCTAGCAACTGCATGGAGGCTCACAACCATCAATAACTAGTCCCATGGGATCCGATGCCTTCTTCTGGTGTGCAGACACAATACAGACAAAACACCCTATACATAAAATAAATCTTTGTAGTTTGTTTGTCTTGGGACAGGGCTTCTCTGTGTAGCCTTGGCTGTCCTGGAACTTGTTCTGTAGACCAGACTGGTCTCGAACTCAGTGATCCACCTGTATCTGCCTGCCTACTGAGTGCTGGGTATTTGCTACTACCTGGGATAATCGAGAGGGAGAGAGAGAACCAACTCTTGTAAGTTGTCCTCTGATCTCTACATGCACACATACGCATGCATGCATGCATGCACGCACGCATGCACACACACAAATGCAGGAGGTCGGGGGCAGAACAGCCTGTGCAAAGGCCTGTATTAAAAGGGCAGAGAAGAGTTCAAAGAACAGGAGAGAGGCTGGGGCCTGACCTGAGTCAGTTAACTGGGCATGGGGTAGAGAGTTTAAGAAGCCCGGGGACGTGAGAATATGGCAGCTCAGCTGCCTCTCGGGCCCTCTGCCCTACCCTCCCTACCTGTGCCTCCCTGACCTCTCCTCGAGGCAACTACCAATGCCCAGCTGTGTTCTGCCCCTGGCTCTCAGCAGATGATGCTCCCACCACCTGAGGAGCGGTCTGGTTTTACCCTCCCCCTCTTGCTTTACTGACAAGGACTCATCTCTCATTGGCTCTGCCATTTTCTGAAGCCCCCCCCCCCAGAGCAAGCCAGCAAGTCAAGGCCTTGTACCATGAGTCTCATGTGGCTTGGGTGTGTCCCTCCAAATGCCCATCTTAGAGCTGGATCATCAGTACTGCACTGGGGACCTTTGGGAGGCAGGGTCTGGGGCACCCAGGAAGTCACAGGTCTGCTCTCGGTTAGTTAACCCTGGAGGAGGAGTTGTCCTAGAAAGATCACCCAGCCTCCTCCCTGCTCTCCCCCTTCCTGTCATGTCATGTGACCTCTTCTGCTACACGCCCTCCCGCAGCAGAGGTGGACATGGAGTGTGTTCCTCCATCACGCTCCTGTCCCGCACCGAGTCAGCCACACTGGTTGGCTCTCTCTCTTCAGCATGGGGTGGGGGATATCACAGGCGAATGCTGCCACCCCGGGGCTGGGCAAACAGTTTACCCACTGGTAGCTCCCAAGCCTGTGGATCCCTTCCTAAGCTATAAGCCAGGACAACCGCTGCCTTACGTGACTCCTTGCTGAGCATTTGGTAACAACAATGAGAAGCGCCCAGCACAGCTCCCGAGGATGAGTGAAGTCAGGGCGGGGATGTGGGCACACGCGGTACAGTGTTTGCCCAGTGGCAGGTTTGAATCCCAGGGCGGCATTAACCGAGTGTGCCTACAATCCAAGCACTTGGGAGGTAGAGGCAGGAGGATCAGAAGTTCGAGGCTGAGATGGAAGAGGTGGCTTAGTGGTTACTCACTTCCTACCTTTGGAGAGGATCCAAGTTTGTTTCCTGGCATCCATCCCCATGCAGGGAGGCTTACATCTCCTGCAACTCCAGGGGATCCAACACTCTCTTCCACCTGCCATGGGCATCTGTACTCACACGCACACACTCATACAGACACACGCCTATACACAGAATTTAAAAATAAATCTTAAAAAAAAAAAATAAGATGTTCAAGGCCATCTTTGGCTACACAGAAAGTTCAAAGCCCCCCCTGGGCTACATGAGACCCTGTCTCAAAAAAAAAACAAGCAACCAACCCAAAACTGCTGAGTGGTGTGGCACACATCTCTAATCTCAACCCTCAGGAGGCTGAGGCAGAAGGGTTGTGAGTTCGAGCCCAGTCTCGGCTACACAGTGAGGCCCTGTCTCAAAAGGAAAAAAAGAAGAAGCCTTGTTTCCCCATCTCACAAATGGCTTACAGTGAAGCAGAATGCGGTGGGCATATTAGCAGCTGTCTGAGCCTGTGTCTGCTCTGTCTCCTCACCCCTCTCATCTGAGCACCACTATAAGAACAAACCCAGGAAGACTAAGATGACAAGAAGTGGCAAGCGCCCTGGGAACAGCGCCCCCTGCTGACTCAGAACAGCTGCAACCCGAAGAATAGCCCGGGGGGGCCCAGCCGGCTGCCACACCACCTGCTCAGAGCCTAGTCACCTCTTTTCCGTGGGGGACCTGAGATTGCACAGCTTTGCCCAGGGCGTTCAAGACCCTGACCCTCAGTGACCAGGCAGCCCAGCCCGTCCCACCCCGAGTCTCGGCGCCCTTGGCGCCCAAGCCCCACTCTCACTGGTGAGGATGATAATGCCCGTGATGAACAGCACCGCTGCCACCAGCAGCCCCCGTTTCCGGAGAGTAAAATCGTCTGTGGAGACAGAAATGGAGGCGAGAGGTCAGGGGTCTCCGTCCCTCCTCCCCGCTTATCTCCAGCGGTGCAGGGTGCGGGGCAGGCAGGGTGGTAACTTACCATAGTAGAAGGGGTTCTCATTCGAGTCTAGAGGGGACAGAGAGATGTGAGTCAGCTAGGCAGAGGTTTGTGGAGCGAATAAGTGAAGTGCAGAACTAACTAGGGAGCGGGGACACTGTGACACGCCCTGTGGCTGCCATCAACCTTCTCCACTCAATGTGTCTCACCCTTGGCCTCCACTGGCCTTCCTGCTCCCAAGTCCAACCAGACATCCACTCACCTTAGGTCCTTTGTGTGAACAGCCTTTCCCCAGACACCCACAAGGCCCCACCGGCACTTAATTCACCAGAACCCCTTCCTTGGTTCTGTGTATGAGTGTGACTATTCTGTAATCCCCAATTTCGCTCGATTTTTCTTGGCAACGAATTAAAAATCACCCGATATATAAGTGCTCCAATTATTTACATGCCGCCTCCCCACTAACGCGGCAGCTTCAGAGGGTCTTGCTATATAGCCCAGGCTGTCATGGGACTTGCTATGGCAGCCATCTTCCTTCTCTGCTTCCCAGGAAGAAGGATTGCAGTGATGCTGAGATATTTGTCTGTTCTATTGGTGGCTGTCTGGCACACACGTGAATCTGGGCTGAGTACGCAGACGAATGGGTGACCTGGGCATATGGCTTCTATGTCTTCAGTGGGGGTTCAGTAGGTGGGAAGTGGAGGAGATCAGGAGGGGAAGATTCTAGAACCCCTGCTGGTCAACAGGGGATCTTAGGTGTGTGAGCCAGTCTCTAGTGGCCAGCTGAGCCACCCAGCTGAGCCCAGCCTGAATTTCAATTTGCAGAATTCAGAGCCACCTAAACGTGCTGCACGCTGACCTGGCTAGTCCGACTGACCGTTTAGGCACTTGCTGCCATCTGCCCAGTCAGACATCACAGTGTTCCTGCCCTCTGTCAGCCTCTTTCATGGCCTGAGCCCTGCAGGTTTCCCCACATCAAGCAGATGTGGGTGCCTGTTTCTGGTCAGGAAAAGGAGGGACTAACCTTGTGGCTTGTAGAAGGGGCCCGATGTGAAGTGTTTGGTTGGGCTTGGAGACCCGATCCCAGGGAGTGCTGTGGTTCCTTTAGGTGATAGGCAGAAAATATAATCAGAAGACAGTGGAGAGCGGGAAGGGCCGCAGAGGCAGACACAGGGATGTGGATGTAATAATGGGCTACATCTGTGCATCTGGGAGGAGCACCCAGGCACCTCCCGCCAACACTCTAGCAGCCACACCTAGGCAGGCCCCTCTCCTGGAACCCCATTCATAACCCAAGAGCAGGGGCCAGAATTTCACTGACTTGCTCCACCACCTGCCTGGAGATATTTAATGACCATATTTCGAGCATCCCCTCTGCTTTGGGACCAAAAATAGCAGGGCATTCTATTTTAAACTGAAATTCAATGTAAGGAAGTGGAGAAGGGGTTTGCTATGTAACCCTATTGGCCTCATGCGCTCTCTTGCGCTCTCTCTCTCTCTCTCTCTCTCTCTCTCTCTCTCTCTCTCTCTCTCTCTCTCTCTCTCTCTCCCTCTCCCTCTCTCTTCCTCTTTCGCCTCCAGGGTTCTGATAAGGAGTTATCTGCTGCCTGGTCTCAGCCCCACCCCTTCCTCACACCTGCTAGTCAGTCTAGAGGAAACTACTTCCTTCCCGATTCTGGGCGGTGTGGACTTTTCCAGCCTAAGGTGGGAACAAGGCTCCTCTGACCAATCAGGGCGACCCACTTTTCAGCCCCCTTTCACGCTTCCATTGGGTCAGACAAGGACATGTGACCTCAACTGGGCCAATGAGAGTCAATTTCAGGCTTATGGGAAAGAGTTATGTGTCTCCTAGCTGCTCAGGTGTGGGACGTCTCTGCTACCAAGAAGAAAAGAGAATGTAGACAGTTAGGGGCGTGGGGGAGAATTCAGATATACGGACAGTTCCTAACTTTCTTGGTCCAGCTATGCTTGATACCTTCTCTTCACATTTTACAGAATCGAACTAACACATCTTTTTAAAAACAGTATATTTTTGCAGCTGAAAAGCTCCTGCTGTACCAGGAAAAAAGACACAAAGGAAACCCACAACTCCACTTCTCAGCTCCAGCCAGCCCAGAAATAGGGAAATGGCCAATCAGCTTGTCTATTGCATTGGGGTAAAACATGCTAGAATGTTCCAGCATGGAGTTGTTGGCTATGGAGTGGCTTCATCAAGGATCTGAGAAGGTCTTCCATAAAGAGGCATTGAACTTTAGCTCAGAATCCTCCAAATAGCTACACACACACACACTTGCACAGACACACACTTGCACAGACACATGCCCACACACAGATAAACTCACACATACACACTCTCTCTCTCTCTCACACACACACACACACAGAGAGAGAGAGAGAGAGAGAGAGAGAGAGAGAGAGAGAGAGAGAGAGAGAGCTTACTAGCAATTCTCCAGGCAAGTGCTTTAAGAAAAACACTTGGGGGAATGCTGACCCAGAATGGAGGAAATTAAACAAAAACTAGAGTCTGCTGCTGTCAGCCAAGGTTCTACCTTCCCCGCTGCTCCCGTGTGTCCCTGGATCTGTCACCGGATGCGTGGTGTCCATTCCTGTCGTTTGCTGGATCTCGGTTTTGCCCGCTGTCTGGCTTTGCGTGGTCTCTATTGCAGTCAGAAAAGAAGACGGGGAGGGGATGAGATGTGTTTGGCCACAGAGCTGCCAGACCGGGCTCCCTCCACATGGTGGTACACACAGTCTAAAATACCAGGTGTCACTTTGTTGGGATGGGGTGAGGACTCTGTGTTTTGCTTGCTTGTTCATCATCATCATCATTATTTGTTGTTGTTGTTTTGAGGCAGTGTTTCTTTGTGTGGCTTTGGAGCCTGTGCTGGAACTCGCTCTGTAGACCAGGCTGGCTTGGAACAGAGATCCACCTGCCTCTGCCTCCTGAGTGCTAGGATTAAAGGCTTGCGCCACCACCGCCTGGCAAGGGGTGGGGACTTTTTTAACACTGCAGGAGAACGATATGTGTGTCCATGTCCACTACTAGGACAACTTTCCTCTTTAAAGAAAACTTTTCTTTAAAAACAACTTTTCTCTTTAACAAAACAACACAGAGTCTTGCCATGCAGCCCAGGCTGACCTTACATTTTTTAGCCTCTTCCTGCTGCTTCCTGTGTGCTGGCATAAGACAATTTATACTTATTTTGGGGAAATACTAAGGGTTGAACTCAGAGCATCGGACAAGATAGGCATGCAATCATTGAGTCACCAGTCCTTCACTGGGGGATTCTAGGCAAGGACTCTACCACTGAGCCACGCCCCCAAACCCTCACTGGGGGATTCTAGGCAGGGGCTCTACCACTGAGCCACGCCCCCAAACCCTCACTGGGGGGATTCTAGGCAGGGGCTCTGCCACTGAGCCACGCCCCCAAACCCTCACTGGGGGGATTCTAGGCAGGGGCTCTACCACTGAGCCACGCCCCCAAACCCTCACTGGGGGATTCTAGGCAGGGGCTCTACCACTGAGCCATACCCCTAGCCCCTCACTGGGAGATTCTAGGCAGGGGCTCTACCACTGAGCCACACCCCCAAACCCTCACTGGGGGATTCTAGGCAGGGGCTCTGCCACTGAGCCATGTCTCTAATGTCATTAATCATTAACTGAAGAAATGGTATGTATACTCCAAGTAAAAAGTACAATAATTACTTGAAAAACAGCTTGTAAAGAGATACGGACCTAAGCAGAAACCACGGCTGAGCAGACACTGGGAGTGTCTGTAAAGATCGAGTGTTCAACTTTTGAAAGTAGGTCAATTAAAAAAAAAAAAAAAAAAAAAAAAACTATTTTGTTTTTAAGTCAGTGGAATCGGATGCCAGATAGGCACAGGCAGCTTGTAATGCCAGCACTCCTGAGGCTGAGGCAGGAGGACTGCCCTGAGTTCAAGGCCACCCTGGGCTACAAAGCAGTGTTGTCTGGACAAAATAAATATAGAGCGGAGCTGGCAAGGGTCCAGAGCTGTGGTGGGCTGAAGTGAGTGAGGTAACGTCAGCTGTCAGAGGTGCAGGGGTGGGTTCCCCCTAACTTTGCCCTACCCACTCACCATCGGATTCCCAGATCCTCACGGGAGTGGTAGGCTGGACTTCTGGGTTGGTTCTGTCTGGAATTGGGGTAAAAACAGGGTCAGAGAGAGAAGTGAGAAGGGAGCAGCAGAGTTTCCGCAGGTGGAAACTGGGGTTCCCATAGCAACTGCATCTTTTTTTTCAATGTCTGTGCAAGGCAGCCTCCACTGCCTTTCCTTTAGAGCCCTCCACCTTCTTTGAGACAGGCTCTCTCATTGGCTTGGAACCCTCCAGTAAGCTTGGCTGGCAAGCCCTAGAGGTCCATCTTCCTCTGCCTCCCCACCTTGGGATTTGCAACCCTCATGCCTGTCCTTGTATGTGCACTCTAGAGATTGAACTTGGGTCCTTGTGCTTGGGAGGCAAGGCCTTTACCGGACTGCCTTCAGCTCCATTTTGAGGTGATGAGAAGCATTCAGGACCCTTGATAACACTCAAACATGATGCCCCAGTCTGTCTGCCTCCAGAAATCCTTCCTGAAAAGGGGCTTTGACTCAGTTTCCCAAACCTCCCTGACCACAAACCAGTCCTTGGAGCATCCTCCTCCCCGGACATCAAACGGGACAACCAATGAGTTAGAAAGAGTCCCCTTCTCCCGGCTTTAGATCCTTCTCCATGAGAAGGTGACTAGGGATGAACCCAACACAGAGGACCCAGAGTCGGTGTTAGGTCCCTGGCAGTAGCATTTAAACACCTAGATCAAGCCATGCCTGAAGCTCACTTCCTGATCTTTTTTTTTTTTTTCCAGTTACACAAATGTCAATTTCTTTGTTTGGTCCAAGTGTGGTGGTGTTGTTACCTGCAGTGAGAATTTTAGGGCCTGCATTGCTTTCCTTACTTGGGACATGAGTATTCACAGACGTCTGGTCCACCGCAGAGCTGGATGTAGCCTTTTCTGTTGTCTGCCCTAGGGAACGGAAGCTGAGTCATCAGAAGGAGCCTCACACTCCCATCTGTCCCACCGTGCCCGACTTTCTGAAATCTCCTGAAAGCTCCGGCTGGGCTACTCAGTGGTCCCGAGGATGCTGTGAGCCCGGCAACTGCTATAGGACCTTCGCATGTCCTTGAAGGACAGCCTCACTGGGAGGCCAGGTGCCAGGGTCCGCCAGGGCCGTGGTTTCACATTCCACTCCCAAGCACTTCCTCCTGGCCATGTTGTGTGTCCTGAGCTGCTGACACCCCCTATGGCTCCTTTGCCTCCTCTGAAAAGTGGGGGATAATACCTGACTGTGGCTCCGTCCTGTGTGTAGGGAGTCCCTCACTGCTTCCTCGGCTAGGCCCTGTCCCCTCCCACTGGGGTGTCTAGCAGCCTCTCTCTGGCCTCCTGCAGCCAGAAGGAACTTGAGGGCACCCAAGTCAGGACAGACCCTGAAGGCGCAGAGCCCAGGGCAGCTGTACCTCACTCTAGGGAAAGCCAAAATTTTCACCTGGTTCTCAAGTTCCCCTGCCTCCAGTCCCATCACCACCTTCCACCTCATCTCATCCATCTCGCCCCGAGCCAGCCTTCCGCCCCACCGTGTCTCAGATTCACGCAGGCCGCTCCTTCCTTTCCCTGTGTCCCCACATTTGCTCACTGAGCATCAGTTCCCATCCATACAAGAACGGAAATAACTAAGCATAAGTGAGCTCACCGGCAAGACACACTAGCAAGTGCCACCCAGCCTGCCCCTTTTGAGAAGTGCTTGCCCCATGAGGGTCTCCTACTTGGCGCACTGGCCCCACCTGGATCCCTTTGCTGACCGCACACTCTCAGAAAACCCAACCGTTCTGCTTTGCTGGGAGCCTGGGGTTTCCTGGCTGCCCAGTAGAAAACTGACACCAATCTCTCAGCCAAGTCAAACTCAACAAGTCCTTCTCAGAGGTGAAAGGGAGGGTACCCAGCAGGACAGGCTCCAGCCAGACCCTCTGGAAACAGCCACCCTGCGACTGAAGTGTCCAAGGAGGGTGCAACCCGGAGCCCGCCTCGCCATCCCCACTTCCTGGTGCCAGCTCACTGCGGGGGGGGGGGGGGGGAAGGGGCGTGAGAGGAGGGAACAGAGAGCATTCAATCCCACTGAGGCTGGAGGAGGGGGTCGTCTTACCTCTGCTGAGCAGAATCAGGGCAGCAAAGACGAGGAGACACAGGCACCAGGACGGGGACATCTGCGGGAACAGTGGAGGCAAAGGTCAGTGAGGCATGGCACCTCGGCAGCTCCACACCCTCCCTGGAGCAGGCCCCTCTGGTACCTGCCTCTGGGAAGGGATGCTTTGTAAAAACCAGAGTCTCAAGCCACCATCCCCTTCTTCCATGAGCTGATTCCCAAAGAAAATCAGATTCGTCAGCTGAGCCTGGCCTCCTGATACCCCTGAGGCAGAGAAGCCTCTTCCTTGTCTTGCAAGCTGGAGCTGACCCTCCTCGTCGTCAGTGGTTCCCTGGCAGAGGAAGCCAGCCTCCCCTCACCCCACCCCACCCCCGCGGTGTCTGCTCCCTCGGGGACTGGAGCTCAGAGCAGTGGGGCCCGGAGGGGAAGAGGAAGGGTGACTAATGTGGGGCTGCACTCAGAGGAAAAAGTGAGCTGGTATCCAGCTGCCCTGCAGGCACCGCACCCATATTGGGAATATCTTAGCGGGGCAGTCTGCCGGAGATGGAGAGACTCGGCTCTGGGGAGACTGAGGCAGGAGGTAAACCCATAGAGGAACCAGGATGAATGTGAGGCAGAGAGGCATTGAGGTCCCCCTCCCAAGCTGCTTCCCACCTGCATGCGTGGCCCTCAGCAAGAGGGTAGAGCGAAGGAGGGACTTACATCCGAGCCCAGGGTCTCTAGCCTGGAGTGTGAGAGTACCGCGTGGGAGCTGCCTGGGGCAGAGGGTGTGGCCAGGGGCGCGGGCTCGGGCGGGCGGGGACCAGAGCAGCTCAGTCATTTCCTCTCCAGCTTCCAGGCCCTACAGTCAGGGGTGGGAGCAGGGGCGGTGGAGGACGATGGGGGACTGAGGGCGGTGGCCTCCAACTCGAGGGTCTGGGGACACAGATGGGGACAAGGGTACAGAGAACGGAAGGCCCCTTGGGGAGGTTTGGAGGGAAGGATGTGGTGAGGAGGAGGAGAAGAAGGAAGGGGCAGGCAGCCACCTCAACCTCCCACCCAGTCCTTGGGTGCCCACAGATGACAACATACAGACAGAACGGGGGAAAAAACGAATGCACATTTATTAAGCTCAAGACGTGGACCCTGAGGGTACAGCCAGGAGGGTCCTGGAGAAAGAGATCAGGAGATGCAGGAGGGAGGATCCCAAGGGACTGGGGACAGGTTCTTGGATCCCAGGAGCTGGAGGCCTGAGTCTCTGGGTCTGGGGTGCACTTGGGCTCTTTGGGGGATCGTCGTTGCCAAGGCCTGGGGAGGGACAGCGGGATGCAGTGGCTCCAGCCTTGGGGTGGGTGTGGCGGTTCATTGGGGGCACGCTCCCCGGCTCCAGGCTGGGTCCCCACCGCCTTCACCGGGTCCTCGGGCTCCTGCGCTCCGGCCAGGGACAGCAGTGGAGAGCTGCAGAGGATCCTACACGCCACCACCTCCAGGTGCTGGGAACAGAAGAGAGCCTGCACTAGTGACCCAAGTTAGGGAGTACACCAGAATCCAGGCTTGACCTCCCTCTGGCTATCCCTGGGGAGTCCATATCTTTCCATCTCTGACATCTGACCACCATGGGAACATTTGCATGGCTGCTGTCTGCCCATGTACGGCCACAGAGTAAGGGAACCTAGCTGTGGTGGACACTTAAGGCCGACCTGGGTGTTCCTGCAGGCTTAAAGTTTCCTTGGCAGAAAGAGCCCCTACCTGATGCTACACCCACGTTCCTTTGCTATATATGCTCTGGACAACCTGAACATCTAGTGGCATTCTCCAGGCCTCCACGTTCCTTCCAAAACAGGCCGCCTTTGCTAAGGCTGGGCCAAACACCTGCCCCCACGCTTCCCCAGCTCCTCAAAGACACCTCTGATGTCCTTAACTCTCATTAGGAAGACATGAAACAAAATATAATTCCTCACCCAGCCTGCCCCATATAACCTAGCCTAGTGGTTCACACCTGTAACCCCAGCACTTGGAAGTCTGAGGCAGGAGGATGGCTGTGAGTTTGAGGTTGGCCTGGGCTACAAAGTGAGTTCTTGGACAACCAGGACTAAAGAGACGTGGTATAAGAGGAAGAGAATCCCACCTCTGTTTTTTTTTTTTTTTCCTCCCTAAAATACCTAGAAGGGAGGTAATTCTGCTAATAATCACCCCCAAGTCTCCCATGTGCATCATCCTTGCCTCCCCTCCATCTTTAGGTCTTTATTCTACACTTCTGGTTGCCCCTATTCAGAAAGCCAGCCTCTCCTTTCTCCCTCTTGCCCCTAGCTTTTCTGTGGGCTCAGTGGAAGGTAGAGGGGAAGCCTGTGTGGGTTTCCCAGGTGCTAACTGGCGGCTTCCATCCTTGAAGACTTCCCCAGCCACACCCCAGCCACCAAGCTTTCTGACACTTGGGATCTCCTTGAGATATTGCTGCCCCCCCCAGATCCAGCCCCCTGAAAGACCTTGAATCAGCTGCTGCCTAGTGGGGTACCGGGCTCCCATCCTCCCAGGTAGCCCTCTAAGGATCCTGCTAGCATCCTCCAAAACCATGCTCACCTGAGGAGGGCAGTTCCGACTTACAGGATTTGCATGTTGGGCTGTGGAGAAAGAGGGAGAGAGGGGAGGAGAAGCTTAACCCGGTGGCTAGGCTCCCTGGGCCCTAAGTTAGGGGTCTCCATCCCAGTTCCCCAGGCTGCCCCACCTCTCAGACCTGGAGTCCGCCTTCCTGCACTTCACCTTCTTGCCTGTTAGGAAAGAGATAGCAGGGAAGGATACAGGTAGGGTAGGAAGAGACAGGGCAGGGCGGGGCGGGGGACCTTCACAGGTAAGCACGGAGTGGGTGGGGCCAGCAGGAGGCCCTCTACGGTGGGGACACTGTCAGTTTGGGGACTCACCAGTGGAGAGGGTACTTACTGAGGATGATGATGATTCCCAGCACAAACATGATAGTGGCCAGGGTCATCCCCACAGTCTGCACGGTGGCATAGTCTACGGGAGACAGGAGAACCTCAGGGCAGGGGCCCAACAGGACAGGAAAGCTGACAGCTGAGCCCCTAACTCCAGCAGGGACTGCGGGGGACCCAAATTGTCTGGGCCAGCCCGAGACCTCCACCCTCCCTTCCAGTGCCACCTTCCTGGAGTCTCACCCTGGACACTAAGCCCCATCAATTGCCCCATCTCGGGCCTCCTCTTGGTCCTGCCCTCCATGATCAGGGCCTACACTACCGCAGCAGGCCTCTCTATGGTCTTGCTGCCCCGCTTTCCCTCCCACAACCACCAGAGCCCTATCACTCCCAGTCAGATCAGGAGCCTGCTGAGGCCTCCCAAATGGCCCCTACAGTATTGCAAGCAAAAACCAAGGTAAGCCAAGATGCAAACCTCAGAGTTGTCTTACGCCTCTTCTCAAGGTGCTTCTCTGATTATTTGCGCACGCACCTGCCCATAGTCCTGATCCTAATCCATGGAGCCCCTGCTGAGTACTATTTGTTATGAGGCAGGCAGCAGCCTCACCTGACTGATACAGTCCATATAGCACCGATATAATGAATACTAGTCCTTCAGTAGATGACCTAGTCCTGATCCTCCTCAGGCTTCACACACCCCTTTCTCCTCCTCGGGCCTCTGCTTAGCTATGTAACCCCCTCTAATTCTAGAGTGTGCCAGCCATCCTGCCCCAGGGCCTTTGCACCAGCCCAAAGGCTCCATGCACTTAACTTCCTCCCTCACCTGTGGGTTTAACTGAGATGTCCCTTTGAAAAGTCTCTCGGCCCCAGCTCTCTCTAACCCCATTTCCTCTTTTAAAGTCTCTTTCATACAAATGAATGCTTTGAGACGGGTCTCCAACTCACAATCCCCCTGCCTTGGCCTCCTGAATGCTGGGAAGAATTATTCTTGTCTGCTGTATATGTGTGATAAGTAGAAGAAAAGGCCAACAGGCAGAAAGGCTGGCCCAGAAACCTCCCCATGGTGTCCCCAGAGCCAGATGTGGGGGCCTAGCTCCCAGCACACAGGCTCCACGGGGAGGCAACTGAGGAGCACTTACTGTATACACCCAGCATGTGCTCTTCAACACCTGACTTCAATGCTGTGATCAGACATTCATCAACAAACAAAAGCTGCTAACACACACAAATCCCCAAGTCATGGCAGGGTGTGGTGTGGCTGCTCCTGCTGGGGACTCAGGGACAGCCTCCTAGCAAGCAGCAGTCAATATCTGATCTGAGGCCAGCAAGGAAAGGAGCCTTAGCTCAGTGTGGAGAGCCGGAGGTAGGGGAGCGTGTTCCTGGCAGAAGGAACTGTGAGTTCAAAGGCCCAGAGCTAGTAAGGACCTTGGCCTATAAGAGGGTCTGTATTCATGAGTAAAGATGGAGGGAGTCGGGAGGCAGAAAGTGGAGGGAATTCAGGCTGGATCTCAGATCTGCCAAACCCAGGGCTTCAGTGTCTTAGGGATGAGAGACGGGCATCGTTAACGGTTACTCTTTCCATAGTCCTCATAGGTGGGAACCATTACTACTCCTTCTTTATAGGAGGGTTCAGAGAGGCCACACAGCTAGAGAGTGGATAAATGATGACTCAAACCTCTGAGTCATTTTACAACTCTTCCCAAGCTGCTTCTCTGATTACTTCAGGGCATGAGCCCACAGTTCTGATCATAACCCCTGGAGGCCTTGAGTACTATTTATTATTAAGGCAGATAGCAGCCTCACCTGGCTGCTGTAGTTCATCTAGCACTGATATAATGAATGTATTTGCCCTTCCCAGCTCTCTTCTTAGTCGGCAAACAGGAAGCGTGAGGTTGGTGCTTGCCAGCCCCAGTTAATCTCTGACTTTACAAGGTACTCAGCCTCTGTCAAGGGCTGGAGGGGGTAGGAGACCACCTCGTTTCCCCAACCTGGCTCTGCCCTCCTCCACAGACCCCTTCAGTGAGCCATAGCCACATGGCCACATGGCTGGTGGTCCAAGTCCTGTAGTCCCAGATGGAACTATCCTTCCATTCTAGCCCTAGGGCATCCCCAGCAGAAGATCCAACACTCACCATAGTAAAACGGGTCTGTTTCTTCAGGAACTGTGGGAAAGAAGACAGAGAAGAGGGGAAAACATGTTTCAACACTGGCTTTCTGGGCATCTTCGAGGACCAAGATGGTCCAAATGCTTCTTTATGAGACTTGGAGTAGGAAGCCCCTGGATGGTGGATGATGCTGCCTCTCAGAATCACACACAGGATGTTCTCCAGACCCATTCACTCTATCTGTCAGTGTCATGCCCTGTGTAGTGTATGACCCACCCAACTGTACATGGCAGTCCTGGTCCTAGAACCTTCAGAAATATTCTGTGAAACACACATACACACACACACATTCATACATAAACAAGCATATGCACACACACATGAACACATACATGAACACATGCACATGCATGCAACACAGGTACACACATGCACACATGCATACACATGAAAACATGCATGCATGCATGCATACACATGTACATACACATACACAGCCCAGTCTCACAAGAGGACCACCTGATGGACTTCCCCTGAAGACTCCCTCAACCCTTCCAGTCATCCCAGAGCCCCTGAGGTCTCAAGGCTGCCCCCTGCAGGGCTCTCCCATCCACTTAGGCTGTGACCAAATCCAGTATGGGCAACCTGTGCTGACTCATATTCTATCACCTAAGACGTCAGCAGTTTTGAGTGCTGGGATCAATCTTATGGCAACTCTGTGCTCTTCTGTCAATGAATCTTCTCCTCCATGTGAAGCAGAAGGCCCTTGGGTTCCTGAGGTTGGGTTCCTGAGGTGTGTGTGTGTGTGTGTGTGTGTGTGTGTGTGTGTGTGTGTGTAGCCTTTTTCCTTCCAGCAGGCTAGAAGAGGCAGACGTAGTAACTCATACCTATCCCCCAGCACTTGGAAGAATGAGACAGGGTAGAGACATCAAGGACAGCCTGGGCTATAAGAAGACCCCCACTCCAGGTGGAGGA